GGCGGGAGCCGCGGCGGGTGTGAAGCTCTGCGGGCTTCGACTGGGGCTCTGTTGCCTCCCCGCCGGGGAGCGGTCCGTCCCTGCCATACCCGCTCTCAGGGTCTTCGGAGGTAAGCAGATGCAAATCGGCACTGTCGTCCTGCGGAAACGTCTTGCCTAATCAGGCTGTACTGGTAATAGCCGATCAGGCTAAGTCTTGAATAGCCCGTTTTCCACTTCTGATGCTTTTGGCTCAGCTATGACAAGGGACTGAGCCTCATCCATTTCACGCAGGAGTGGTTTGGGGATGATGGGTTCGGGAGACGGTTTTTTATTCTTCGTTTTTCCACGGATTGTCCGTGGGCTCCTGGGGCGAGTTGGTTGATTGTTTTCCCCTTGCATTTCAGCGCCTTGTGAGCAGGGGAAGGGAAGGAGGGGGTCCCGCGAAACCCCCTCCTTTGAACTGGAACATAACAACGTGACTCTACCTTGCAAGCTTGTTGTGCGAATAAATGCCGGGGGATGCTCAGTTCCTAAGGTGATGGGACTGTGGAATTTACAGATGGTCTTCGAGTTCTTTTCTTCTGTCCTAGTCCCTAGTCTGCAATTTACGGGGCTCCTGCAGGAGAATATTTATAAAGTCATTAAAAACACTTTAATGGAAAATACTAACCATCTATTACACGGCATCTGTTGTCGTGTCGTTGGAAAAGCACGTCTAAATTAAGAGAGTCAGAGACAGTGAGACAGACTGGTGGGTTTTCTGCTGAAGCTACCAGCTGGCCGGGGCTGCTAGAGAATATTAGCGGAAACTCCTTCCCATCTGTGGCATCAGGATGGGCTTTGGCTCCCCAGACTGCTCTCTGAGCGCTGGGCAAAGCTCACTTTGGCAAGGAGGGGCTCAGGGAGGGAAGAGAGGAGCAGCTCTGCAGTGTTTCTGTCTCATCTTATCCCTAAGTGGGTGTGAAGACGCAAAGGAGGATTCTCGGAAAAAGTATGGAGGAACAGCCGCAAAAAGCATTTGCCTCCCTGCGCTTTCATGGTGCAGCCCAGAGAGGAGGGAATATCCTCTGCTGTTAGATTAGGATGAAATAGGCAGGACACCCAAGGGAGGTTGTTTCGAAGAAGCTCCAACGGGTCTGTGAACCAGGCCGGGGAAGGGAGTTGAAACTTTCTGAAGGTGGTGGGTAAGTAAAAATCAGGTCACCTCATGTCCAGTGCATGGTGGGGTCCCAGCCAGTTTTAAGACTGCATGAGTCAGGGAGGTCTCGAGGCTGATTGCAGTTGTGTGGGTTTGGCTGGGGCGTGCGTGAGTGTGGCAGGCGGATTGACCAGGCTCTGCAGGTGTGGAAATGCACGTGGCGTTGAAGGAAAGGATGGACACTCTTCAGAAGGATTGGTGGGTGGCTGCCCTCTAAAAGCCAGGTAGTGCCTTTGAGCCGCTGGTGACAAGAAAGCCAGCTGGCCTAAGGAGCTTTGCTTACCCTACTGGTGAGGGCAGCAACTAGCTCCCCCTTTATCTGCACTTGGGTGTTCATCCCTCGTGGACTGCAGTGGTCAGTAACTTCAACATGAGAACGCGCGTCAGCAAGGATGGGGCGAGATGTGAAGGTGACAGGACTGTGCAACATATACACGGTTTTCAAGTTCTCTTCCTCTGACCTTGTGCCGTGTTGCATTTTACGGGGCTCCTGCAGGAGAATTTATAAAGTCATTAAAAGCACTTTAATGGAAAATACTAACCATCTATTACACAGCATCTGTTGTTGTTTCTTTGGAAAAGCACGTCGAATTAGGAGAGTCAGAGACAGTGAGGCAGACTGGTGGGTTTTCTGCAGAAGCAACCAGCTGGCCGGGGCTGCAGGCCTGTGCTCAAAAACTGGAGCTGCTCACAGCTGCATTTAGGCAGTTACACTTTGCAGGCTTATGAAGCCAAAAGAGCAGGCTCCCAGAAAGCTCCCTTTATGCTTTTTTTCCCATGGAGTGGTCTCTACTGTGCACCAGCAGATCGTAAGCTTTTCATCTTTGCAGGAACTGCCTGTAGCCCAAGGGAGCTCACTGCTTTCCTAGACCAAGCGCCTCCGATCTCCTGAGGACAGGGCTTAGCAAAAGACTTGGGGAGTTGGGAAGCTGGTGGGACTTCAGCGAGGGGACCGGGTGTCCCTGCTGGTTGCTGCAGCAGTGCAAGGAGTTAGAGCTGCTGAGCTGCTGGGGATGTGCCTGCCTACAAGTCCCCGCGCAGGCGGGAGCTCAGAGCTCGCCAGGACTTGCGTGGCCGTGGCTAGCTTGGAGCTGGGCTCAGGTAGTCTCTGTGGCTCAGGTGTAACCTGTGTGGCTCGGCGCTGCTCTAGCACAGCCTGCAACTTGTCGCCTGGTCAGTCTGGACGTGACAGGCATGGGTCTGGCTGCTGGGTGTTGTGCAGATGTGCACCGATCTCTGCTGCGCCTTGCTTTTATCGCTCCCGCGGGGAGGAACCTGCCCCAAGCCCAGCTCCCTGCCACGCTCCGCTTCTGCCTAGAGCAACGCTTTGCTCTGCCGCTGCATTAGCGGTTTTTCGCAGCTCGCTCTTTGCCTCCTCAGAGCGGGCAGGCACCTTCTAGCCATGCTTGTCCTGTCAGGCAGCACCGAGCAGCAACGTGTCCACGTCAGAGGGGTTTCTGGCTCCGGCTCTGTGGTGAGGATACAGGAGCCCTAGGCTCTGCCCAGGCGGGTTGCAGCCAGGTGCACCGGGACTGCCGTGGGCAGCGCAGCAGAGCCGGCGTGGGCAGCGTTTTTGCCCTTCGGTAGCTAGCTCTGTTTGACTGTCAGTCTGGTCTGGAGACTTCCAGCTGCCTCCAAGCTCTTTCCCCAATTCTCCCCCAAACACAGTAAATAGCCAGTCTGGTCCTTATGGCCGTGCTCTTGCACATTGGAAAAGTATCTTCTAGCGATGGGCAGAGGCAAACAGGTGTCTGGGTCCCAAGGCAACAGCAGTTTGTGCTTTTGAGTTTCTCCTCCTGCTCCTATCCAAGACCGTGGGAGAGGGTTGCAGAGGCAGCGCAGCTGCGGGTTGCTCTGCAGAAGCAGTGCAGGTGTCCCTGTAACCCCGACTGAGCCGGGGCTCAAGCTGTTCAGTTATTTCTTTCCTAAGGACGAAGCAGTCTCCTGGAAGCTGACGGGGCCGGAATATATCAAGCAGAGCATCTGCTCGTCTGGGCTAGAGAACTTCTCTTTATAGCCTTGGCTCCTCTTGCCTGCCTGCTTGGTAGCCTTCAGGACAGCTGGAATATGCCTTAAGTTGTACCCCAGCCCCGAGCTTGGGTGGCTTATGATGCCATCCTGGTGCATCTGTTTCCCTATCGAAAACACGGGTCATGATACTGCCCCCGCTTTGGAGACAGCTGTGTTGCACTTTGTAACACTAGTTATAGTTACTCTGCTCTGTTAGCTGCTAGGGGAACTAACAGCTTGTGCCTTTTGCAAACCACAGCGGCAAAAAATTCAAAGGGTTTCTCCTTGTGCTTTTGTTTGCTTGACACCACTTCCTTGCCCCCTCCGGACTGGGGGACACAAGGGCGCATCGCCCAGCCTCGGCGGGACGTGGCACGGTAGGAGAGGGAGCGCTGCTGCTCGTAACAGAGCTGCGAAACCTCCTGGATGCCTGCCTGCCTTGCCTCATATCCCTGCCGTTGCCCAGGGTTTTTTTGTTGTTGTTGTTTGGTTGGTTGTTTTTTGTTAAACAACATCAGATTGGGGTGAAGAAGGAGTTTCCTCCCGGGCCCGTGTTAGGGCATTGCGGGGAGAGGTGCGGTGGTGTCCGCTGGCAGCCTGTCTCCCTGGTGGGCTTGATCTGCTTGGGAAGAGAAGGCAGAGACAATGTGAGCTGCTCTCACAGCCGTAATGGTCCTGTGTGCGTGTCTTTGCCTTGGAGCAGGAGACGGCTCTGGAGAAGACCTCAGGGATGTCACTGAAGAAGCCGCTTCATCCGTAACAGCTGGGTGGCTGGTCGCTCTGCTCCGCGGAAACCTCATCCCTCCGGAGGGGCTGCCTCAGATCCCACCGCCTGGAGGGGCAGGTACTGGTTTTCTCTTTGGGTCTAAGCTCTCCCCACATGGCTGGCACCAAACCTGGAAAAGGGGGCCAAAGCCGTGTTACGTGATATTTAAGGACCCTCTCCTCTAACCCCTCTTTTGCACTTCTGCCCTGTCTGAGGGATGGTTTTGGACGGGAGTGCCTCTACGCCAGCAGCCCCGTGCTCTCCTCCTGCTCCGTATGGCTGGGTCTGTGCAAAGCCTGCGCACCTGCCTTTAATGCCTGCGCGTGCTAGAGCGCAAGCCTGCCTGTTTACCGCGGGCGGTGGCTTTGTGGGAAGGTGCTTGGGGTGAACGGGGGACTACTGCTGCATGACCCAATGTGAGATGGCTGAGCTGATTGAGCTTGCTGCTGCTGAAAGGAGAGGTGGAGTTCAGCTCTTGGTCTGGGAGGCTGACAGTCTTGAAAAGGTGTTGTAAGTCTCTAGAGTTGAGAAAATAAAGGCACTGTTGCAACCCACCTCCAGAAGAGCGGATTAATTCAGGCCTTGACAGGAATGAGGAGCTGCTGGGTTGGGTCGGATCAAATTGCAGCTCGATGTGTTTTGGCCTCCCTGAACCTTGTGCAGCATCATGCTTCTGCTGGTTGCTCCTGCACGGAGCTCGAGGGAGCAGCAGTGCAGAGGGCGCAGGGGAAAGAGAGTCAGGAAAGGACCCATGTGACAAAGATGATGTGCTGTCAGTGCTGAGTGGCAGCTCCAGCCCTGACTTTTGGGGCTGTTGGGGCATGCGTAGGGTTGTATGACTTCTGCTTAGTAAGTCTTTTTGCTTTTTGTTATTTTTGTTTGTTCTGCTCCAGGCTGCAGTTTCTGACATGGATTTGCTCTTGATCTGCCCCTTTCTGTTCACGCTGATGTTGTCCAAAGGCAGCTTGGCAGACCTGGAAAAACAGAGGGTGGACTCTGGCTTGGAAATCTGTATCCTTCTCTGCAGGCCTGCGCCTCAACTCATGAATATGTGCTTGTGGCTGATGAGGTTGGAGAGAGCTCGCATGTATGAAAAGGGTTAGAGACCATGGAAGGGGGCACTAGAGGGGTGGAAGAGAGGGAATGGAAGAATCTTAAGGCTATAATTATTGCTAATGAGATTATAAATGAACTGAGGAAACGCAGCCATCACCACGATTGCCAGCCAGGACCTGGCTCGGTATGACCCTGAGCAACCTGATGTAACTTCAGAGCTGGCCATGCTCTGAGCAGGGGTTGGACTAGAGACCTCCAGAGGTCCCTTCTGCCCAAATTACTGCCTGAGGTGGCGTTTGCTCTTGGGCACGTGCAAGGCAGCAGTCCCTGCTAGAGAGCTGCCCTGGTGGCTACTGGGTGCCCCGCTGGCTGCTTCCCGGGGTGCTGTGCTGCGCCGGGGCATTGAGGCAGGGCTGTTGGGATCCTGCATGAGCTGAGGAAGAAGGAATTTGGGAGAGAAGGGCTAAGCTGGAGGGTCAGCTTGGTTTTCTTCAACTGTCAGACAGCCCCAGACCTGCTGAGCAGTTGCTGCTTTGCTCTTCTGCGGAAAAGGTTCAGTGGAGCTCTCAGGTTTGCTGATAAAATGCCTGGATCGGTGCAGGAGCAGAGACAGGTTCTCCAGCGGCGTCTCGCGTTCTCCCAAGTGCAGTGCTTTACCTTTCCGCTCCCACATGCTGGGGAGAGAACGCGTCTCCCAGTTTGGTCTCGGCACCGGTACAGTTGCCCACGTGGTGGAAGCTATGACGCAACGCGTGCATGTGTTGCCGAAAGGCTGCTCAGTGCCCTGGCTAGGAGGACGGAAGAGTTTCTGTGCTGACTGCAGTCAGTCTTGCCTGTGTCTCAGGCACTTGTCACCCACAAGGAATAAGATAGAAGTACCTGCTAACGCAAGCCCTTCCTGGCACATGCCAACGTCGCCTGAAGAACAAATGGAGCACAAAAAGCGAAAGGAGGGGGTGCTGGAAACCTCCTTCTGGCCCAGAGGCCCTGCTCTGGGGGGCTGCCTCTGGCGCCCGTCCCCAGCCCTCGGACACCCCGTGGTGCTGGAGCTAGGCTAGTGGTTTGCACCCAGGGGAGAGGGAGGCTGGGTGCAGGCTGCTGTGCTGGAGGCCACGTGCGCGGCGGGAGCCTGCCAGGAGCTCTGCGGTGCCCTTGACGGTGGTGCAGATAAGAAGCTGTTTGAGGTGAAGCGCAAGGACCAGATGAACGCGCTGAAGAACCTCATCGAGCTCAACGACGTGAACCAGCAGTACAAAATCATCGACATCATGCTCAAGGGACTCTTCAAGGTGAGGCGCGGGGCAGGCTCTCCTCCGGGCTCGGCATGCTCTGGCGCGAGCTGCCCACTCCCTCCCTTCGCCCCTGAGCTGGGTGCTGCACCCAGGCCGGGACGCTGGGGAGGGCGAGCAGGAGAAGCAACGGCAGCAGGGAGCCTCTGTGGGGCTGAAGAGACGAGCTGAGGGGCAGAGTAGGCTGCTGCAGCAGTAGGGGGTCCCCCGAAGGCTGCCCTTGGACAGAGGGGAGCAGGGCCAGGTTGGGGCAAGGATGGGCAAGGGGGGAGGGCAGGCGGGATGGGCAGTAACCAAGAGCCTTTCAGGTGCTGGAGGACTCCCGGGCCGTGCTAATAGCTGCAGATGTGCCGCCAGATGGGCCTTTTCCTCAGGACGAGAAGCTAAAGGATGGTAGGTCATCTCTGGTCTTCTGCCCCCGTTCCTTTTTCCATTGCTATGTTGCATCTCTGTCTTTTCGTGTGGGATCAGTGCCAGGGTAGCTATGAAATCCCTGGGGCTGCCTACAGAGATCCCTACGGGGATCTTCCACTGGTCCCTGTGGTGTTTTCTATCGGGGAGCCATTACGGTCTCGCTGACCAGTTCATACTGGGGATCCTGCCCATTTACCCCCTGCCTCTCCATCTTTGCCACTAGGATTTAGATGCTCCCAGGATGAGGTAGGGGCAAATGACTCTGAATGAATTTGAGTTTCACTGGGGAGGCCTTTGTTCAGCAGTCTCCCAAAGGATATGGGGAGAGGAGGCCTCATCACAACAGAGATTTAAACGTAGATCCTGCAAAGCCCCTGGAGAACATGCTGCCCAGCTAGGACAGGGCAAAGGCACTGCCTGTTGCAGCCGTCTCTAGACTTTCCTGCTCTCGTTTCCCAAGTGGCACCGAGCTGATGTGGTGCTTTGTAGCCTGTGTGAGCTCTCCCGTCCCTGATCTCTGCTGTCGGGATCTGCTCCACATCCAACCTCAGCAGCCAACCTCGACTTCCCCCAGCCAGCCTCAGCTGGAACTGCCCCGTCCCCGCTGCTGAGGGCCAGGAGCCATCATGGGACGTCAGCCCCCGAGGAGGCTGGGC